AAGCCACAAAGCACTGAGCATCCGAGGCTGGTGAGGCTCAGCCACGTCTGTTATCCCTAAAAGCCCCTGACTCAGGGGTGCTTTGGGGTCAGGAGGGCACAGTGTCCCCAGGGTGAGTCCCCCACTCTCATCCCAACATCTGTGGTGACACCAAAACCTCCCACTGGGATAAACTGGGGGCCAGGTGTGCTGTAGCCACGCCGTGCACTTCAGACAAATAAAGCCCTTTTTGCCATCTGAAGTGTAAATTCAGAGGCCTTTAACAAACTCACGTGGAATATCTGTTGCTTCCCATAAAAGACAGGAATTAAACCAAAGAAATGCCCTCAATCTGGCACCTTTCATGAATGCTGGGTGAGAAAACAAAGCCAGCTGTCCGAGAGAGGGAAAAAGCCAGGACACAGCCAGTGACAACCCCCCCCCTCCTTCTCCCCCAGTCTGCCCCTAGTGTCAAAAATAGCAGTTTTATAACTATAATAAGACTCAGCGAATTCCGTGTCTATTCGGGGAATACCCAGGGAGCTGGCAGCAGGAGCCAGCTCATTTCTGACTTCAGCTTCCCTGAATGCCACTGGATTGCTCACAGGGCAACGGGGACCACAGAGGCCAAATAGCAACCCCTGATAATGGTGACCTCTGGGCTCTCCTTCCTCTTTTCCCCTCTCGTCGAGGCTCCCGGGCACTGGGACCTTCTCTCGGGCCACTGAGGCTCCTTTGTGAGGCCAAAAATGTGACTTGTGTGTGTGTGTGTGTGTGTGTCACTGGGATGAGACCCTTTCTGGTGGGCAGGGAGGGACATGGACAGAGATTCAGCTTCTTGGTTAAAAAAAAGGAGACCACTGGAACTGTTCTCCCCACTTTGCACTGGTTTCCAGGCTGGGCAACTGGGAGGCAGAAAACTGGGGAAAACGGTCCCTTCCTGGGAGATCTTAGCCTTCCTTTCCATTGGAATGCTCTGATCCCAGGGAAATACCCCCTCCCCCCCCAGAGGAATCCACACCCTGACCTGCTCTCAGCATCCAGAACATCCCATTCTGTGGGTGTTGGGAATGTGCCAATCCCTCGGGGCACCTGCTGCCGTGGAGATGGACCATGGAGGTGTCTGGGGGACCCCTCTTGCTCTCTGGGCTCAGTCCCAGCCTGGCTGGCAGCAGCACCCTCAGGAACGAGCCAGTTCATCCACGTCTCCCTTCCCAGGAACCAGCACTCTGGAAGTGTGTGAGTTGTCATCCTGAAAAACAAGCCTTGTTATAAATCTGCTCCGCTCAGGAGATGAGGATGTGTGTGTGGACTCCCTGGAGAAGCTCAGCCAGCCTTTACTGCCACCTCAGCACGTGGAGAAAGAACAGAGTGTTTATTCCACCTGTAAATTCCCACCAGAAGTAACCCAGACCCTCATTAGGCCCTATTTACATTTTAACTTTCACATCCCTGAGGCTAGAAATGAGGAAGAACACGAGGTCTGTGATACAGGTATGACCAAACCTACCAAATCCAACCTATAACACGTGGTTGGAGCCCAAAAATGTATAATGTAAAAGGGGGGAGCCAGAAAAGTCACAGAGAGGGAAAACACATGATCCAGACTCATATTTGTGAGTCTGGATCATGCAAATCCTTATTGAACATGACCAGCCCTGTAATCCTGGGTTGGTAAATTGAATTATATGTGAATCTGTGCTTTTATAGAACCCAACCAGACCGACAGTGCTCAGTTGGTTATAATCAGAAATTAAGCCCAGCTGCACCCTGTGATCTCTGAGGACCAGCTGGAACTCAAGGGGGGTTTTTTCCTGCTAAATTTCTGTGCCTTTAATGAAGGTCCCCCTTTGACTGGAGCCCCAGCTCAGGGGTTTAAGGGTGGATCAGCTGCTCCTGGCCCCACATTGAAGGCACAGAGAGGCTCACACACAGCCAGGCTGGGATTCCCAGAGGGAGCTGAGGATGGGTGACACCACCCAAGCCCAACTGCTGCCTCCTGTGCTCCCAGTGGGTGCTGACTGGGCAGCCAGGAGTGTTCCTGGGAGCCCTGGGAAGCTGCTCAGAGCAAGGGCTGCCAAAAGCATGGCCGGGCCATCCCCCGAGTCACACTTGCTGCCTGCCCCAGCGTGGCTTCTGTCCTTTCTCCCTTCCTCCTTCCCCTCACAATGGCTTTTTCCAGCCTGTAGTAAAAGATCCCTCCAGCTGCCAAGGGCTCTTTCCCCCTCTGGCCGAGACAAGGATGGCTTTTTCTCTGGCAAAACGCCTCTGGAAGAGGGGCTGGCTTCGCAAGCCCCTGCCTGTCGTGGCATAATCGAGTCATTGTGGAGGAGAGGCTGCACCAGGAGGCTGATCCTGAGCAAAACATGGCCCCAGTGGTGAGCTCTGCATCCCCCCGTGGCTGCTCACACACTGGCCCTGTTGTTTCCCACCCTTAGTCTGTGCTGGCTCATTGTCCACCCAAGAGCCAGTTCAGACACCGATCAACTCCCATCACTGCTGGGATCAAAATGACTTCATCTGCTGAATTAGCTGCTCCCAGATGGCAGGAAACCCGTGTCCTGGTCTCACTTCACCCCGCTTGGATGAACCTGGAAGCTCTTTCATGAATGAAGTTTTCCACCTCTCGCCCTTTTCTGGCAGAAAGATGATGCTGCAGGTGCAGGTGGGAGAGCCAGGTGGGAAGGCACCATCAGGAAAAGCTGTTCAGGGCAGGAAAGGAGATGCTGGTCCATCTCACAGAATATCCCAAAGATCCCACAAGGATCGGAGTCCAACTCCTGGCCCCGCACAGGACACCCCAAAAATCACATCCTGTGCCTCACAGTGTTGTCTCCAACCAATATCCTGCTGGAGACTGGCTTTCCATGGGAAATGCTGCCATCCAGGAGGAACAAGCCACAGGAGCATCACTTCAGTCTTGCTGAGGTGGTGTGGTGCCCATGGGATGCAAAACCTCTTTGGAAAATGCTGCCCATGGGATGTAAAACCTCTTTGGAAAATGATGTCTGTGGGATGCAAAACCTCTTTGGAAAATGATGCCCATGGGATGTAAAACCTCTTTGGAAAATGCTGCCCATGGGATGTAAAACCTCTTTGGAAAATGATGCCCATGGGATGCAAAACCTCTTTGGAAAATGCTGCCTGAGATGAAGGGATAAAAGAACAGCTGGGACAGGGGGGGAAAAACCCCTTGAATTGCTGCAACCACTGTGATGGGAGGGGAGGGAAAGACACACAGGTCCTGCAAACCCTGGGTGGGTGGGATTGAGGTTGGAATTCATAAATAAGCTGAATTTAGAAGATACAGCAGGTACCTGCATGAGCCACTCAGGTTCTGAGGGAAATCTGTCCAGGAGACAGTGAATAAGTGTGAGATAAAGCACAAAAAAAAAAAAAAAAAGAAGCAACAGGCCCCTTAAAAACATATTTAATAGTTTTCAAACTTTATTTCATGGTGATTGACGAAAGACACAAGTTAGTAATGGTTATATCATGCTGCTCCTCTACTGTGCATTGCCCTTCAGAATTCATACAGCAGTTCACAATGGTCATTAATTTACCCTATAAATGAAGCCACGTGGACATTTAAAAAAAAAAAAGAGCAAAAACAACAACAACAAAAAAAAAACAAAACAAAAAACCCAAAACAAAACCAAAAAAACCCCAAAACAAAACAAAAAAACAACAACAAAAAAAAACCAAACCCAGAAAAAAAAAACAAACCTCAATGTCTCTTTTTCTTTGTTTGTTTGTTTGTTTTTTTGTTACATACATGTTATAAATGCTATTAAAAATAAAGCCCCAGTTAAGTGCACGGCCCCAAGGGAGCACTTGCTGAGCCTGACCTTGGTTTGAGATGCTCCACAACGAGGACACCACGTCCTGTTTTAAGGCATTTCCAAGCCCCAGCAAAAGCAGACAGAGTTTTTTTGTTTGTTTTTGTTTTTTGTTTAGCTGTTGGGTTGTTGTAATTTCTTTTGCAGTGACCCCTGGCTTTGTTTGGAGTGGCATTTGAGAGAAAATTAGCAGCTTCCTCTGCACGTGCCCCCTGTCCCCCTCTGGAGCTGGAGGATCCAGCCCTGTCTCAGCAATGCCCAGGCTGGAAATTCCCCCCTTCTCAAAATTCACGGATTTGGGGGGGTCTCACACCTGCAATCCCCACCAGGACCCACGATTTATATACAGCAGCCACTTAAAATGTGGTTTTTGGCACACACACACACACACACAGAGCAGTCTCCATCCCACAGAGGGCACAGCCCCCCTCTGTGGAATATTTAAC